GAATTCTGACCTATGTCTCGAACTAAGGCTTGTAGCTATCACAGAGTGGAGCGCTGGAACACCCTCCCCAGAGAGAGAAAAAAGCTATAAAAGCACCCGAAAGCCCCATTTGATGCATTTGATGCTTTTGATGCCCTTTCGCCCTGGCCCGGCCCGCAGTGCTCCGCCCGCTTCGATGCCGGGCTGCTCTCATGATGCAGGCAGCGGAAAGCCCGCTTCTCTCAGTGCCTCTCGGTGCTGCTCCGTCGCCCGAGCATAGGCTTGCGGAACATAAGCTGCGAGCGCCCACATGCTGCCCTCGTGTGGCTCTACCATATGATAGCGGCGAGCATCGAAGCTCACCGGTTTGTCGTGCATGTCTAGCCACCGCCCCCGCAGCTCTCACTCCCCCTTCTTGTCGGCCGGCCATGCCGTGAAGTCCCCCTCGTCATCTTCGATCCACACCCGTCCTCCTGTGTAGTCTCCCAGAGCAAGTGCATGATTCGAGTGCCCTGGCATGTTCTGAATGTCGCGGTGCAGCCCCATGCGCGGATTGAAGAGCACGGCGATGGAGGTCCAAGTGCCGTTCGGAAAGCGGCTCTTGAGAAAGCAATTCACAGCGGCACAGGCCTCCCGCAGGCCCGTGGCATTGGAGACTCCGACCACCCCGCCGTGCCCGAATAGCCCCATCTCGTACGCTCCCGGCCCCACCGCCCGGGTGCGGCCCCCGTCCTTCCAGTCCGCCGACCACAGATCCAGCAGCCGCACGAGATTGGCTTCGGTCGGCTCCTCCGTGGCGTTCCGGCACGCCAAATCCATTTTTTACATTGACAGCATTTATCACTCCAAACACGAGTGGCCCTAAAACACCATGCCGCACCCCAATTTTTCGGGATTTTGAAGCCGCCCGGGGAGGGTGCGCCCCGACGGCCCCCGGCAGCCGGTCGCCACCCGGAATCGCCAGGCATCACGGAACCGCCGCGCCTCCGATCTTCGGGGTGTGCCCTTCCTATGTTCACACCCTGCCGGGCCCGCCGGCCAGAAGCGACACAGCCAGCCCCGAGAAGGCCCGCGCAAGGCCAAAAAGGCTTGGCCGGGCCGCTTCACACCAGATTGTGGCGAGAGCGCGATTTCGGTGGATACGTCCCTTAGGTTTGGCTCAAGTTTTCGTGGCTGGGTGCGCTCAGTGTCGATTCGCGGCGAGCCTGTGGCCGCCGTCGACCTGATCCGTCGGGGTTTAGGATGCAGTTTCACCAGGTGCTGCTCGCCTTTGCTCACTGATGTTTTTTTTGATTTGTAGTGGTATTCTAGCTAGGCTCGCCGACTTTTGCAGTAACATTTTGCTAGAGTGCTTTTGCCGGGGTTGCTCCTTTTTTGGTTTGGTTCAGGGCACCCTAACCCCTTCGGCCCCGAAGTAGGCTTTGCTCCCCGTCTGCCCTGCGAGTGCCCTGTGTCCCTAACCCGTAGCCTCCCGCCCCACGACCTTGCTTCTAACTTGTCGTTCCGCGCTCGGTCTTTCAAGGTAGGACGCCGCAACAGGCAAGCGTGTGACATGCAGCGCTCGGTGCAACAGGGGCGAGGGAACATAGCAGCAGTATATAGTAACATAGTAGACATCATGCTGACAGCATCGGAGAGAACGCAGATGGCCAAGCTGCTTCGGCGACTCAGCTATCGCCTGCTGAGGCAGAAGGACTTTCAAGGAGAGTTCGCAGAGCACGACAGCCAGGACGAAGTCGAACACTTGGATGTCGTGAAGTCGCAGCTGGTGTCCCAGATCAACGCGATCTCGGTGGCAGATCTGTACGCGTTGAGCTCTTCCGCGAAGAAGGACGACAAGCCGAAGGCCGAGGGCTCGAAGAAGGACGACAAACCCAAAGCCGAGGGCTTGAAGAAGGACGACAAACCCAAGGCCGACGGCTCGAAGAAGGACGACAAACCCAAGGCCAAGGGTGTGAAGAAGGACGACAAACCCAAGGCCAGGGCGTGAAGAAGGACGACAAGTCCGAAGCGGAGGGGTCGAAGAGGAAGCACCCTCCAGATGATTTTGTGGAAAAGTGAACAACTTTGACACCCCATACATGTATGATTTTGGTAACAGTAACACACGTGTACAGTAGTAGCTTTTGACTCCAGTTTTCACTTGAAAGACTTGTCGCTCCGCGTTGCTCGAACAGGCTCAGAGTGAGGTTGAAAAGTGTGGGAACTTGCTCATGGTAGCGGAGCTGGGCCGACCCAGCTTCGAGACACGTCTGTGGGACACCCACGGGGTTCCCCGAAATTTTACGTCCTTTGGGTTCCGTTCCAACATCAAGCGGCACCCGGCCTGCAGCAAGAACGTCGCCGTCGGTCCCCACGGCGCTCTCCGCCTGAAGACAGAGTTCGCAAACCGGGATCTTTTGGAGCACGCTTCTCCGCCTACTGGTGGCAGCGCACAGGCAGCCTTTTGCTCCGGTGCATACATGCACTGCTTTGCGACTACCCGCATCGAGCATGGCTATATGTGGACGACCTTTTGGCACTGCTCCGCACATCCGACAAAGATATGGCATCAGCACTGATCGTCGCTTGTGCGCCAATCAGCTGGAAGAAAGCACAGTTCTCGCAAGAAGTCACATGGTGCGGATGGACCATACGCACAGACACGGAAACAATCGAGCTCCGCGAGCTCAAATTGCAAAAGCTCCGCGAGCAACTCCTTGCACTGCAACAGCGAAGCAAGGTGCAACGCAAAGAACTTGAAGGGGTTCTAGGTCTACTTAATTGAGCCACATCCCTAAGCAGACACATGCGGCCCTTCATGGCCCCGCTTTACAAAGATCTGCATAGCTGCAAGGGCACCCTGCACAGCATCTCACCTAGCATGTGGGGCAAATTTTTGGAAAGCTTGGACAAGAACGCCAGGCTCACTCGCACACCGGCAGGCACCTGGCTGCCTCGCAACGCGCAGCTGCTTGAAGTTGGGAGCCTCAAGATATCAAGCAAAGAGGACGTGCCGCTCGTGCCGCCTTCGCATAAGCACCAATGGTTGAGACTAGCCGACCCGCACCACTCTGAGGTGCACCTGTGGCATGAAAGCAAATTTGTGCTGTCGTGGCTCCAGCACTGCTTTTCGCACGAGCAACCTCGCTCCCTGCGCACAGCCCCGCGCATGCACTGTTACAGCGCCGCAGACGCCTTTGCGGACACGCATCGCATGGGAATTGGAGGCTGGATCAGCACGTCTGACTCCTTCCTCTGGTTCAGCGGCATTTTCTCTGCCGAAGAAGTGCGCAAGCAGTGGCCGCAGCTGCAAGGCAGTCTACAGCCCTACGTCGGATGTTTTGAAGCACTCGCACAACTTGCACTAGCACAGTGCTCTTGGCAATTGCTGCGCAGCAAGCAAATTCGCTTCGTGTTGCCTACGGCATCAGACAATACCAGCGCAGAATCTGGCCTCAACAAGCTCTTTAGAAAATTAGCACGGCAGAGCCCCTCGGAACTTTTCTCCGCCTTGCTGCTACTTGGGCGCACCTGCACCGCGTGCAGTTCGAAGTCGAGCACCTCGCAGGTGAGAAAAACGTGTGGGCTGACAAACTTGGCAGAGGTTCCACAGCTTTTCTTCAGCATCGCACTGCTGACAAAGTAGAGGTAACTCTAGCTCAGCTAGCCTCCGCATCGCACTGCGTCACGCTACATGATCACGCACTCGAGTGGCCGCCCAAGCTACTCGAAGCACGGCACGCAATGCTCAAATGATACAAAGAAGAGCGACGCCTCTCTCTCTTCTTCTGCTAGGGAGCCGCGCTGCTTAGCTGGTCTTGAGCCCCGCTTTGCCAGGTACATCCGCGATCTCGCGCGGTGAGGGGGTTTTTTACAGCAGAGATTAAGGATGCACCTGAAGTGGGGGTTAGCTCGGCATCGCATGCCTTGTTTCTCCTACAGCGAGCAATGCCTCGCACAGCATAGCATCCTTAGCAATCTCTGCGGTAAAAAAGGATTGCGGTCAGAACGCTTTGCACTGCAATCCGTCTGTCATTCGAAGTAGAATAGAGAACGCTAGTTGTGAGTTTGTTTTTTGTATCAACTGTGTTTTCTGTTTCTTGTGTCGAATGTAACTGTTGCTTCGCACCGCCTTTCGGCACAAGACACTCACAACTAGCTTTCTCACGCATTGCATCGCATGCAACAGAATTTCACCCACCCTCCACGCCCTGGGGGGTTTGCTCGCCTATGAGAGGCAGTTCCCCATTGAGGGCTCGGTCGTTGTGTTTGAAGTAGGTGGGCCGCCTGTCCACCGGCTGGTAGGGATCTTTACGGAACTCCATATTTCACGAAGGAAAAAGGAGGACCCCTATGCCAGGCACCTCCGGAAGCTCAGTTGTCAGCCCCAGTTATGTGGAGCTCCTGGTGCAAGATTGGCCTACGTTTTTGGGGCCCCCGCCCGCCGGGCATCATCTGCCCGTGGTCACCCTTCCTTACCACAGATTGGTCTGCTTGAAATCCGGCGGCGGACTGGACGTGTTCAAACGGGTCCTGGAGCTGCCGAATACCCGGGTCCCCTTGTCACTGGGTGTCCTTACTCCGGTGCAGATGTTTGGCAGTGAATACAAGTGAAGTATGTTCAGGTATTGACCAGATAAATAACCGAAAATGTTGAAAGCCGGCGGGACATGCAGTCGACACATTACGTCCCTATAGGACATTGGCATTGGCCATCATCTTGAGCCCAGACATGTACATGCAAATTTTCAAAATCACGAAGCGTCAAGCTCCAAGCGGCAGCATTCTCAAGAAGACGAAGAGCGGCTGAGCAGTTCTTTAGAAGCAACCAATGCCAGGTAGTGGTGCGGTCAGTTCGTGCGATCGTTTCCGACACGTCAAAAATCCCCAAACAAGTTGAATGCGGATTGAAAGTGTGATGACAGCGTAAGCGTAGAGGCGGAGAATTCCGGAGACGGATTTGTCGAGTTGACACGTTCCACGCGGGTTTGCAACAATTTCCCGGCGAACAAATTGCAATCGTGCAGCTTCCGTTTCGGATGCCACGCTGCTGTGCAACAAGTTCCCAGCGAACGCATTTCAATCGTGCAGCTTCCGTTTGGGATGCCACGCTGCTGTGCGACAAGTTCCCAGCGAACGCATTGCAATCGTGCAGCTTCCGTTTGGGTGCCCTGCGGCTGTGCAACAAATTCCCAGCGAACGATGCAGCTTCCGTTTGGGGATGCCACACGGCTGTGCAGCAATCTCCAAGCGATTGCATTTCAATCGTGCAGCTTTCTTTTGCGGATGCCACGCGGCTGCGCAACAATTCCCAAGCGAACGCATTTCAATCGTGCAGCCTTCGTTTGGGATGGCACGCGGCTGTGCAACAATTTCCACGCAGCCGCGAGAAACGTGAAATTTCTGTTTGGGATGCCACGCGGCTGTGCAACAATTTCCGAGCAAGCACTTTGAAACGTGAAGCTTGCGTTTGGCATGCCACGCGGCTGTGCAACAATTTCCCAGCAGACGCTTTTCAATCGTGCAACTTCCGTTTGGGATGCCGCGCGGCTGTGCAACAATTTCCCGGCGAACGCATTGCAATCGTGCAGCTTCCGTTTGGGATACCACGCGGCTGTGCCACAATTTCCCAGCGGACGCATTTCAATCGCGCAGCTCCTGTTTTGGACGTGGCTATTCAAAAATGTCCCAGCACATGCACTTCAATCGCGCAGCTTCCGCTTGGAATTGTCCCAGAGAACGCATGTCAATCATGCAGTTCCGTTTGGGTGTCACGCGGCCTGCACGCGGCTGTGCAACACTTTCCCAGTGAACGCATTTCAATCGTGCAGCTTACGTTTGGGGATGCCGCACGGCTGTGCAACAATTTCCCAGGGAGCGCATCTCAACCGTGCAGCCTCCGTTTGGGATGCTGCGCGGCTGTGCAACACTTTCCCAGCGAACGCATTTCAATCGTGCAAGTTCTGTTTTCGGATGCCAACTCATTTCTATCACCGTTTGGGATGCCACGCGGCCGTGCGATTTTTTCCTTGCGGACGGAGTCCAATGGTGCAGCTTCCGTCTGGGATGCCACGCGGCTGTGCAATTGTGCATTGATATTCCAGCAAACGAACTTGAATCGCGCAGGGTTTCGTTAGGGATGCCACGCGGCTGTGCAACAGTTTCCCAGAAGATGCATTTCAATTGTGCAACCCTCGTCTTGGACGCGACGCGGCTGTTCAATAATGTCCCAGCACATGCATTTCAATCGCGCAGCTTCCGTTTGGAATGCCACGCGGCATTGCAATCATCTGCCAGTCCGCCCCACTCACGACGCAGCGGCCGTCCTTGCTGCAGAATTCCGGGTGCTCCTCCTCCGCCGCCTGTGCCTGGCGCTGCCGCTCGCTCCGCGGCTCAGCGCCTGCCATGGTCGGCTTGACCCACTCGGCGACCACCGAGCCGCCCGTGCTACATGCGGTGCTTTCGCGTCCCGCGCCCTGCCCCTCGAGCGAGCGGTCGCCCGGGTCTGCTAGGCAGGAGCAAAACGTGCGCGTTGCAGACATGAATCTTCTCGCCCCCGTGCACGATGCGTGCGGGATCCATCTCGAGATCGTTTGTAACGGCCTGCCGCTTTGGCCAAAGGCTGACGCTCGACCTGGCCCCGCACTTCAGCACGCGACGCGGCGCAAGAAAAAACAAAAACAAAAACGACGAGACACTTATCCCGAGCTGTCGCTTTCGCCGTGCTGCCACGTCGTTGTTTCGTTGTGGATCCGAATTCTGCAGCCATCCTTCGTCTGCTTGCGCGAGCACGAGCCGTGCGAGCAACAGCTGCCGTCCGCTCGGCTTTGCCTGCAGCCTACGTGGGCCTACATTTCGCGCTGGAGTGCCATCATCGCCGTCGCAGCGCAAAGGACCCTCGCCAGTTCGCTGCTCGAAGTGCCTCTCGACTCTGTCGCCCTTGCTGCCGGCGAGCCAGCTGTGCATGAGGTCCTACAAGACGGCCATGGCTTGACACCCCGGCTGCCACCCGACTCCCAGCGCGGCCAAGTTTCGCGCGCCGTAGCCTGCAGGTGCACTGGGACTGGGACATACAGGGACCGCGCTTGTACTTGTCGCAAAGTGTGCGCGAAAAAAACAGTTCAATGGTGCAGCTTCCGTTGGGGAAGCCACGCGGCTGTTCAATAATTTCCCAGTGCCCGCATTTCAATTGTGCAGCTTCCGTTTGGGATGCCAGGTCGCTGGGCAACAATTGTCGAGCAAGCGTGTTGCAATCGTGCAGCTTTCCATTATTTTTTTCGTGCAGCTTTTGTTTGGGATGCCACGCGGTTGTGCGCATTTCAATCGTGCAGCTGCAGCTTGTTTCCGTTTGGCATGTCGCGTGGTTTTGCAATAATGTCTTTTCGCCTGCACGCCTTTTTGTAACCATCTGGTCCCTTTATGTCCCCATGCAACACACGTTCCGGGGGGCAGACCCTACATGCGCACTTCGCGAGGCGGGAGGCAAGAGGAGGTGATTCGGCGGGTTTAGCGAGGACGTCGCTGAGCTGAGCAAAGGTGTCTCGCCATCAACGTTGGCGGTGTTGGCGATGGGCAAGGAGAGTACGCTGGTAGCGACCACGTGATGCCCGACAGACGCATTGGCAACATGCAGCTTCCGTTTGGGATGCACGCAGCTGTGCAATAATGCTCCAGCAGGTACTTTTCAAACGTGCAGCTGCAATTTCCCAGCCAAGGCATTTCAATCGCGCAGTTTCCGTTTGGAATGCCACGCGGTTGCGCAAAGAGCTCCCAGCGGGAACATTTCCGCATAATAATTTGCCAGCGGGCGCATTTGGACCGTGCAGCCTCCGTTTGGCATGCCAGCGGTTGCGCAATAATATTTGCGGTGGAGTATCGTGTTGGTTTAATAAAGTCCGCTGAGCAATAGGCTGATCGCAGTTGCCGAAACCCGTCTGAACAAGCAGGTCAGCGCACATGCTCGTATACAGGTAAAGTATCGGTTCTGTTAAAGTGTTATTGCCTTTGTTCAAGACACAATGGGCAAGCTTGTCTTGTGTTCTCGGAGAATTGCAAACTATCCGCCTGAAGTACCCGCAGCTTTGGTGCCAGCATCCGCCCGCCACCAGTACTTCCCGTGCTTTGATCATGTCGACTCCTTAATGGTTGAGGGACATGGCTGCTGCCTCGATCCTGGAGGATCAGTTCCAGCAATGCAAAGAGCACCGGAGCACAACCTCGAGGAACGCGTGGAAGCCGTTTGCCGCAGGCTTGAGTCAGGGCGGATCAGGGGCAGTTCAGGATTTTGTGGCTTCGGGTAGGTTTGTCAGAGTGTTCTGGGATTTGTTCTGGGGTTCGCAGGGGGCTTCGTTCCTTTGTCTCGCCACTGGCTCATTCTGTGCCACACGTTTAGGGTTTAGGGTCTTCAAAAAACCGACGAACCCCCCCCTTAGGAAACTGAAAAGAAGACTGTATACCCAAGTCCAAGTCCTCGAAAGAGTCGGCGTGCTCCCAACACGCGCAACCGACTCAACCGTCATCCGGACCCGCAGGGGCTCGACATGGAGGCGCTGCTGGAAATCCGTGGCCGCGGGCTTGGCTTCTGGCTGAGAGTTGCCTCCCCGAGGGTGTTCACATGAATCATTCGGACTGACGTGGTGGCAGTGCCGAGCCTATCCATGCTGTGTTAGAAAGCTTCGTAGCCCCCAGCCTGCTCACTCAGTAGAAGGATGACTAAGGACATCAGCGAACTCGCGCCCTTACGTTTAGGATTCGGGCTTCGGGGTTGCACGCCTTGGGGCAGTTTGAGCTTTCCTGCTTGGTGCAAAATCGGCCTCGGCCTTTGGGTCAAGGTTCTGCGCTCTCTTGGCTGTGTCGTGTGCAACTCATTGCTGCAGGCCATTTGATCGAACTCTTGGAGCTGAAGAAGAAGGTTTGAGCCTCAGTATGCCTCCCCCAGCTTTTGGCCGTTGACCCAGCTAATTCAATGGACTTGCCTCTTGCCTTTCTCAGTTGACACGCTTGTAAAGGGATCTGCCAGGGTTTAGGGTTTAACATTGAGAGGTGGAGTTAGGGGTGGGGGAAGCCAAAGCTTATCTGGCAGTTTGGTGTTCCATACCGTAAATCCCAAGCCCTTACAGGAGGTCGGAACCCCTGCATCTCTGGAGTGAAAGTCCCACCACGCTACAAACCTTGAACCCAAGTTTCCGTTGGCAGTCGACCAGGCGGATGGTGTGGTAAAGGATGGCAAGCTCATCATGCCCCGGCTGATCTCCAAAGAGGCTCGGGGGTTGACTGTTTCGGTTTTAGAATTGAGGGGTTAAGGTTAGGGTTTAAGGTTTACAGTGCTGTTAAAAGTCAAGCATGCGGGCACAGGATGGGGAACCACCTGCAACGACAAACCATATGTTGAGCTCTGAATGCTCCACATATTGTGGAAGCCTGCCCTAAGGGCTCCGGATTATCGTTAAAGTATATACTCTGCAACCATTATCAATGCCACCTACGCTTCCACTTTTGCCAGATTGATCTTACTAGATCATTCGTCACTCCTTCGACTTTCTACTGTGCCTTCTGACCTTACCCTGCAACGCGGGCTCGTCCTAGCTAGGTGGGGGGCAAGAACTATTCATGCGTCTGCACAATAAAGATCAAGCAATGCCAAGGTTCCGATTAGAAGTCGCAGGATTTGCAGATGAACCCAGTCGGCGACGTTGGGAGATGAGGGCTTTGCGGTTTCCAAACCTGGACTCGGAACCTATGGAAGAACCCTGCAGGCACAACTGAAGACCGGGTGGGCAGAACATGTTTGGGGCTGCAGCGACTCGGTGCACCGAGCCCTGCCACCGCCACCCCATCCTCTTGCCAAGATGTGCATGGCTGCACCTCAAGCCCGCCCCTATTCCCGGCAGGTCTTTCCACCATTTCCTCGTTTTTCATGGTTTGCAGGGAGCACCAAAAAGCGAACGTGGAAAACGTGGAAAAACGAAGCTCCTGGACATCAAAATCGGGTTCGAGTAGCTTCGTCCAAAAATCGAGCATTAACAACATGGAAATCGTGGAAATCGTGCAAAAACGAAGCTCCTGGATTGGGCTCGAGACCAGTTTGCTTTCGGTTTGGATGTCGTCTTTGGTGCCAACCAGTGCCAGGGAGCTTTGGACCACAAAACTGTCCGAATTGTAACCGCACGTGCCGAGCGGCAGTTCACTGCAGCGCCGTGTGCCCGGGATTGAGGTCATCAATTTCCCGCTGGCGTCCTTCTGCAGGCACGACGCCGCCTGGCAGCGCCGCCGCCAGGCCCGGAACTCGTTTCCGAGACCGGCCGCCCACGTCACCGTCGCCGCCCTTGTCGGGCACCGCTTTCGTGACCGCCAAACGTCCTTGTTCCGTCCTGCAGGGTTGCACGCGCCTTCGTCCTGAGACGGCCCGTTCGAGCTTCTCGAGCCTCTTGCAGACGCCTCAGAGCACCACGAAAAGCTTCTAGTAGTCGAGAGCCATCTCTCCCGTTCTTGGTCTTGCACATCGTCTCGCCCAGAACCCTGCACGTCCAGCGCGACAAACCGATCTGGTCCTTGGGCCCGATGCGATTGTACAGCTGTGGCTCCCTCCACGGCGTTGAGGGTTTGCTGCAGGAGGTCCTGGCTCCTTGAGGCCCAGTCGCTGAGGTTGACGAAGCCATAGCCAAAAATGACCTCGCCGCTGTTGCCTCCCCCGATGTTGGGTTAGGCTGTTGTTGAAGCTGATGAGGTTTGAGCCGCACCTCACCGCCCGCGAACGCTTTGAGCTCGGCCACCATTTTGGGCGTCGGAGTCTAGAGTCCTTATAGAATGAGCGAGGCGTCCCAGTGAATCTTGGCCTTAAAGTATGCAGTGCCTCGCTGCGTCTGCTTTAGGCACGAACACCATGTTTCCCGGAGTCCCGAGGTCGTAGCTGGTACAGATTGTTGTCGTTGGGCAAGGTTTGGCTCGGAACTGCACTTTGGCTTCCAGAATTTCGACATGCTGCTTGATTTCGGGGTCGATTTCCGAAGACATGGTTGCACGTTTTGGGTCGCGTGCCGCTAGGTGCGGGGCAGGTTCCACAAGACGCGCAGGTAGTTTCCAGACATCCAGGTGAGAGGGCCTGTGAGGGTTTGACGGGCAGGACTGTGCTGCCATTAGCTAGGCGGGTCGCTTTGTCCACGACAGTGTTGGCTTGCTGATTTTTGTAGCAGGCGGCGGGCATTTTCTGTCATCCAAGCATTCGTGCGTCGCAGCAGTGTTGGCTGTAAGGGCTTTTGGCGACACAGGGCCTACAGGGTTTTGGGTTGGCTAGTCAAAACACGTCCGTCAGAGTGAGCAGTTGGAGATTCATAGCGCGGATGTTTTTCAGCTATTGCAATTTTCGCATGAGTTTTGCATGCTGGCTTGAAACCCTTTGCCACCCGTTTTGGCAAGAGTTCTTGGAGCGGTTTTTGTGATTTCCAATGTTTTCGTGATTTTTGCATGGTTTTGACATGGATTTTTGTTGACTTGGCATGTGCTTGACTCTTGGCATGCAGGACCACACGAAGCAACACGACAGCACGGCAAGCACAGCAAACTGGCAAGCACAGCAAGCCTTGGCGCAGGGGGTGGTGATCGAGCTCTGGGGACCACAGAGGCTTGAGGGTTGCCTTTGGGGTTGCAGGTGAGTTGAGGCTCCGAGGCAGCCAAGTCTGCAAGTTTGCGCAGCAAGGCTCCACGGAGTTTCAGGTGGGTCGGGGTTTTGAGGCAGCGAGGTTTTGGTTGCGCGCTGCAAGTTTTAGGGTTGGTTTGGTTGCAGTCTGGGGGGTGAGCTCTGAGGCGTTCAGGTTCGGTCGTGTTGCGCTGTCCTTGCCCCTCTCTTCTGCCCGACCCCGGTCTCGCTGCCAGGTCACCGTCATATCCTCTTTTGCCACAGGCTTTGGGTGATGCGTGAAAGGGCGGTAGGAAGTGCAAGCAGTGCAGCTGGGAGCAGAGGGGGGTTTTTCTAGGAGGGCTGAAGTTCGACTGGCAGTTGCCCATACTCCTGGGCCAGGAGGCACCGAGGTGGCCGGGGCGGGCCGGGGCGGGCCGGGGCGGGGCGGGCCGGGGAGCCGAGGTGAAGATGAAATTGTGAGGTCACGAGCTGGGTGGTTCATAGAGGCAGGGGTTGGGGGCTTTACCCGTGAATCTCCTGTGCAGAGAGATGCTTGCCATGTATCCTTCTGGATCTCGCTGTACTGGCAGGCGATATCACGGGTCCTTTGTCAACGCACTCTGCGTGTGGCACCCAGATACTTCTGGACCAGCGGCCAAACCGAAGATGACAGAAGGGGGTCGGGGATCAGGGCTTATTTGATGTCATTCAGTCGCTTCTGCTCGAGCCTTCTTGAGGACAGCTATAGGACGAGGGCAGCCATGGCAAGGACTCCAGCGTCGCGCAAGATTGGTCGCGTGCTGGCGCTGCTGGCATTGTTTTGGGCCTGTCAGCCAGAGCCTAAGACAGGTGCTTCTCAGTGTTAGAGGGTTTCTGAGCAGCTTCAGGCCAACCGTGCAGACAGTGCACACTGCCGTTGGAGCCCGGGCCGTCCCCTTTGCAAGGCGGGATGTGACAGCATGGTGCACCGAAGAGCAGAAAGCCAAGCGAGGCCTCCTGCGGGCGCGTGGGCGCGTAAGCCCCTCATTGCACGCAGGGCCACGAGCAAGGTGGGGGTCAAAAACTGAAAAGACTGTGTCAAGCCCGTCCGGAGAAGCTCAGGCTGATGGCCAACATAGTGAAGCTGACGACAAGGAAGATGATGAGGCAGGAATGGTTTGTCGGTTCGGAGTTCGGAGTGACACCCCTGCTTTGCTGCAAGGTGAGCAAGCTTGCCAAAGAACACGATGAGTTTCAGAGCTACGACGCAGATGACGTGCTTTGCGTCGTTCTTATGTCGTTCCCTTTAGTCCTGCCCTGGCTTTCTCTGAAGCGTCTCTTGTAGGTGCTTCAATGGGTCCGACAAGTCTCTCCCCCCAAGGTCGGAGATGACGAGCGTTGTGCTTGCGGAATCTCAAAGCACCTGCTCCGAGGACATCGACGAGTTTGCGACTCAAGAGTACATCGGGGAAACCCTGCTGGAGAAGAGACCGGCAGAATTGGACAGAAAGCTTAAATTACCAGACGGGCCAAGAGAGAGGCTGGTGAAGCACATCAAGAAGCTGAAAGCGGCCGCCGCCGCTCGACTGCACACATTGCCGTTGCTGCCGGGCAGCCGCAGTCTCGGAGCAAGCTGAGGCCGTCAGAGATTTCAAGAAGAAGCTTGAAGATGAAGGCGCTGATGAGGCCCGGGGGCGTCGGAGTGTAGCCGTCCAGCACGGGTTGAGCCGGCATAGGATCGAATCACGATGGTCGGCGGCGGCCTCGGAGCTGTGGGAAACGCGAGCCAGATGTGGTGGGGACGGCGCTGGCAGGTGACATGCTGTCGGCGCTGGTGGAGCTGGATGCAAAGACTGTGATGAGTTCAGCTCTTCAGGATCCAGATGTCCAATCGGTCGCTCGGCCGCACGCTTTATGTTCTTGCCGTTCGGGGTCTGAGCTGTGGATCCGCCTGGCCCAGGTGTTGGGCCTGCAGCAAACCTGGTTTCTGCCAAGTACGACGCTTCTGCGATCCAACAGGCCAGGGGTGTAAACTCGTTTGTACCATCCGACCGTTCAGTCTTTTTCCTTGTTTGAGGCACTTGCGAAGCTGACTGGGATGTTGCCTCGACAGCTGCTCCAAGTCACGCAAGATGAGCTCGAGAGCCGGTACAATCTAGAGGCTGCGAAAGCGAAGTTCCTGTTCAATGCGGTTCAAGACTTAAGCGATCCTTTGGCCACTCTGGCATGAACTAGTCACTCTTCTTTTGGGGCGGGCCTGTTTTGTGGTCAGTGTCACGTCAATTGGCATGTTTCAGGGCAGCCCGTGCGCTGAAAGGTGTTGACCTTTCGGGACCTCGTGAACGACAGCAGCTATCCGCTATCCAGAGTTCCAATACAAGCATGTTTGGGTGTACAGGCTCCTAACTGACATACCAGAATGTGGGTACATTGCAGATGCGCAGCTCTTGACAAGCACAGTCGGCGGCGAAGTGGTGGATGTGGCAATCGGCAGCAGGAAGGGCAAGCGCTGTATTCCCGTCTTCTATGGTGAAAGTGGCAGTGGGAAGACCCTTCAGTCTCAGCTTGCGCCAGCCCTGAAGTTAGGCAATAATTCCTGCATAGTTCGCGTCTTCAGCAAGACTATTGACGATGACGACCCAATCCTCGAGAACATCAGGCACGAACACGCGCAAGAGAACTGGCAGAAGCGCGATGCCTTGTGCAAGAATTGGACTCTCACCATGCTCTTTGCACAGATCAAGAGTGCTTTTTGGCCACATGATGAGGTGGTTGAGGCATGGTTGGGCAATTCAAGCCGGAACAAACGAGACCTTGGGACCATCGTGTTTGTCATTGATGAGGTTAGCAAGTGCATAGAACTGGCTCGCGGGATCTCTGCAACGCAAACTGATATCTACACCACGCTAGAGCAGAAGTATTGCCTCTCTGCTCAGCTTGTCATGGCAGGAACGGCTGCTGCATACATTCTGGGCACTCCAGGTACAAGTGTGCTCAGTACCGATCCAAAAGCGGTTTGCTTGACGCACGTTGGCCTCGTCCAAGGCTCGAAATATCTCGGCCGCCTGCTGACACAGTTAGACAACCAGACGGGCGTGCACTTGAAGGACTTGCAAGTCGCGTCCGTGCGCCCATACCTCAGCAATGCCCGAACGGCATGGTTCCTGATTGAAACGCTGCGGAGTTGTTTTGCTTGGGCACCAAAGGATGTCAGCCGCAAGATGGCAGGCTCAATTTGGAAGCGCTACCCAGCAGCCACGGGCTGCTATGTGCCCTTGATGTACAGAACAACGAACGCCTTGCAGCGATTGAAGACTGCTGAAGAGCGTGAAGGCATTGCCAACCGGGCGCTCAAACTTTTGATGCACGCCGACCTTCTGACACCAGACACGATGCCGACGCTTCGGGAAGCTGTAGAGTGTGTAAGCCTTGGGCTGTGCAATGTTTCAAATTATAGCCAAGCCCAAAGTCTCCTTGCTCAAGATGGGCAAAGCAAGACGTATCGGGATGACCTCATTTTCCAGTCTTCACCCGCTTTGGCACACATGCTGTTGGCAGCTTTCGATGTGCCGGAGGTAGTCCCGCAGGACAGGGATTCGCTGGAGGCAGTCATAATGGAAGCGGAAAGACGCTTCTCAGAGGTGCTGACGGGCCGGAAGGCCATCGCTTTGACTCTACCGCATGCGCTGCCTCCGCAGCTTAACCAGCAGAACATGACAGGCCTGCCGCTAGAACAGTTTAAGGAGATTCTGGCAGCATTGAATGCCAGCAGACAGTGGTGCTGCGCAATGGGCCCAGTGCTCAAGGTGCTGACATTATCGTTCTTCGGAGGAAGCATGGAAGCAATATGCCCTTGGTTCGCCTGATACAGGCGAAGAACAAGAACAAGAAAGCAGATATGCTTCCAGCTATTTCAACACTGGGAGTCACATGCAGCAACAAAACAGTCACATGTCGCGCCTGACATCGAGCTGCACAAGTTCTTGGATGGCTGTGCCGACTTGTGTCAGAGCAAGCTGGCCGTAATGCGTTCGAGCTTGGGAAGTTCAAGCAGCCCAGGACTAATGTTAGCGTCTCCGTCGAGCTGGTGCTTTGGGAGAGTATCCCCCGCAACGAGGCTCCTCCTACTTTGAGTCGACAAGAGTTCTTGCAACAGACTCCTACGTTCCGGCTGAGGAGCTTGCAACATTTGGCTCCGTTTCCTACACATATAGCGCGCCCCGATAGCAAGTATGTTGCGAAGAAGCAGTGGCCAAAGAAGAGGAGGTCGGGAAAGCCGCCGGCAAAGAAATCATCAGCAAGCAAACGATAGAGGACAGTGCTGTCGCTCTTGCATAGAGCATCATTCGAAAAAGGCGCGCTCTATTGCTGGTGTGGCATTCGAGTAAATAGTCTTGGTCATCACTCAAGAGCTTGCATGTTGCCTTGTTCCTCAGAGCACGTTCTGGTTCGGAGCTGACGGCTGCATGCTTTTCACTCAGGTCCCAGCGGGATGCTGTCATCCAGGCTGGTGCGACGCAGCAGCCGTTAGTTGCAGGCATGAATTGCCCTGTTATGAGGGGATGCTTTAGAAAGTGTCAACGCAGCATTTTTGGGCAGGCTGCCAAATGCTTGGTTGAGGCTACTGAGCTGCGGGCAGTGGTTCTGGCGTGGAATGCGCACGTAGCCGTTTTGCCTGGTTTCTAGAAAAACGCTTTTGGCAGGGGGTGGAAAACCAGAAATGGGTTAAGAGGTCCCCCCTCCCTAAGCCTGGGGGGGGGGCAGGAAATGTCGAATAGCGAAGTTCCTGTTCAATGCGGTTCAAGACTTAAGCGATCCTTCGGCCACTCTGGCATGAACTAGTCACTCTTCTTTTGGGGCGGGCCTGTTTTGTGGTCAGTGTCACGTCAATTGGCATGTTTCAGGGCAGCCCGTGCGCTGAAAGGTGTTGACCTTTCTGCACATCATGCAAAAGGAGACGTATGTCTCCTACAACCATGATAACAAAGTATGGGTGTACGGCTCTCTTTTGACCAGCATTCCTGAATGCGGCTACGTCCGAGATGCGCAGAAGCTCACAAGCATAACTGGTGCAGCGGCGATTGTCGTGGACAGCATGAAGGTTGGGAAGCGCAGTATCCCTATTTTCTATGGGGAGAGTGGCAGCGGTAAATCAGTGCAGGCGATGCTTGCGCCGGCTCTGAAACTGGCGGAGAATTCCGGATCGACAGTGCGCATCTTTTCTACTAGCTTACAAACTGACGATAGCCTGGACAAACGACTGGAGAATATCAAAGCCGCAAGCAGCGTCTATCAGCGCAAAAGAAATTGTACAGATTTTGTTGTCGACAGCTTCATCGATGCGGTCCGGAAAGCCTTTCCTAAGCAGTACAGAGATACTATTGTCAATACGTGGCTTGAGGACGAGAACCGTAACAAAACAGCTCTGGGAGTCATTGTCTTCATAATTGATGAAATCGGCAAATGTTTGGAGCTGGCTCGTGGCGTAGCCAGCGCACGAGATGCAATCTACGACAAACTTGGCAACTACTGTGACGCAGCTTTGTTGGTCATGGCAGGAACATCTGCTGCCGCCATTCTGGGACCAGTTGCGGGGTCCGCTGATATTGCCTCAGATCCAGCCAGTGTTTCTTTAAGTCCGGGTGGGTGACGTCCAAGGTGATGCTTACTTGCAAAAGCTCTTAGACGCGACGTTGGCACTACAAGGCTTCAACTTGTCAGACGTAAGAAGTGTTAACCTCTTGCGACCTTACCTCAGCAACGCGAGAACTGCGTGGATACTCTTTGAGGAGTTGAGGCGATTCACAGAAGTGTCAAAAGAAGTAGACAGCGACAAGGTGTTGCAGATTTGGAAACGCTTCCCATGGGATGCAGGTTGTTACGTACCACCGGGCTGCAGCGATTAACAGGCGCTACAGCCCGATGCACCGAGAGATCGTCTCGAAAGACGACATGCCCCATCTTTAGAGGACGCTCTAGTGTCCAGCTGGGATTGCGCAGCGTCTCGAACTACAGCACGGCGCTCGAGCTGCTGCGTGAAAAACCACCTGCTGACAGAGACTACCGCAGTACAGTGCGCTTCAGCTCCTCGCCCGCCTTGGCGCACATGCTTCTGGCAGCGTTCGACGTGCCCACCATCATACCAGAGGATGGAGACTGCCTGGAGTATTGGTGGCGGAGTCTGAGAGGCGCTTCTCAGAAGTGCTGGCAAGAAGGCCACCACCATCTCCCATACCCGTTTCCTCCAAGTGATGAAGGAAGACATCTGGCGTTCCACAGAACTTGTTCAGAGAGATTCTCAAAGCCCTTACCAGCGGGGAAACAGTTGTGCTGCTGAATGGTCCGAGAGCACACGGAGCTGACGTCATAGTTCTGCGTCGGGCTTGCAATGGTAAGAAGCCTCTTGTACGCCTGCTACAAATCAAGAACAGAGGAAAGCCTGTAGGTTCGCTTGATGTTCTGAGAACACTTGGCGTGGGCGCAGGACAAAACAGGAATGTCGTGCAGCCCGTCCGCTGGTCTGAAGGAGTCCTGGCGTGGCTATGTCGATTGGTGAGCGAGCAGCCTGCGCAAGGGTCTGCCTTGCAAGACCAATTTCAGAATGTGTCAGAGGTAGCGCGGATTCCTTCGATGGATGTCGATGTCGAGCTCATCCTTGTGGAACGGAAAAACAAGCTGTCAAGGCCGCTTCCTTCAGTCAAGAAGCCGAATTTTCTGGATTGTTGCCCAGTATTCAAGCTGCTGAACCTGACTCATCTGGTTCCCTTTCCGACAGACATGCCACTGACGCACTACGTCGCCCAAGGCCGCGGCTGTGTGTTGTAAAGTCACACTGATGATTGTCCTCGATTAGGTGTTTTTCTGGAACACTCGGTCTTCAATCCGACAGTGCCAGAGGCCGAGTGCACCGTGCAGTAGGGCCTATGGGGCTTGTGTCTACCTCTCTTAGGATTTACGAAAGGGTCTGTGTGTGCATTGTTGCACCCCTCCCTTCACCCGCTGTCGTGGCCCAGGCTTGAAGGGCGGAACTTCCAATACCGAAACCACGGAGTTACCCAAGCCGTCGCGACGACGATGCGGCGCGGGAGCGAGGCGAGGATTCAGGTCAGGAGGGTGATGCCACGGATGTCGGGGATACTGTGGGGCGATACCGGCGACGACGAGGCGACGACGACGACGAGGCGACGACGCAGCGACGACGACGCGATGACGCAGCGACGATGACACGGCGACGACGATGCGGCGGCGAGGCGGTGAGGATACCGGTGAGGATAGGAGGATGCCGGAGACGACAGGGCGGAGACGACGACGTGACGACACGCGGCGACGACGACGCCGGCGAGGCGGTGAGGATAGCGATGATACCGGTGAGGAAGATAGGGGTGAGGATACGGGGACGACAGGGCGGCGTGGGGACAACGACGCGGCGACGAGGACGCGACGACGACGGGCCCTGCAGGTCTCACGAGCGCCCCTGCTCCGCCGGGTCCTCCTCACCCAAGAGGAAGAGGCGAGGACGACGGCGATGACGCAATCTATCTATGAACAACTCGCAACGACCCCAGTCTGACACTCCAAGTCTTGAGTTACATGTGCTGTCGGTTTAGGGCCTGGTCTTGCTACCCAAAGCGATTCCGTCGTTTCTTGCGATCTTGTGCAGCGCACAGGCCTTCAGAGCGCGCCTCAAACCCAATCCATTGCTAAACACGTGGAATATAGAGACCTATGAAGCGCTTTAGGCCCCATGAAACGTTGTAGGAGGTTCCGCAGAGATTCCAGGTGTTTTTGCGCTTCATCTGGGTTCGAGCATATGCAAGTTGAGCGGTTTGGACATGGTAGCGAAAGTACCTCTGCCCTTTGCCTTGAACCTTAGCGCCAAACCCCAAATACCCTTCTAGCTTGCAGAATTGGCTGTTGTTTGCTTCTGCTTGAGACTTTGCTCCTTCCATGCCCGAAAGGCTGCCACAGGACAAGGATCAAAAGATTCAAGAAGACAGTTCTGGATCCTATCTGGGCTTGGTCCATCTATCCCAAACATGGGATGTTTCTTGTTTGGGTAGTGGTAGCGGCAGTAGTAGCAGCAGTAGTAGCTGCAGTAGGTAGTATTTAGTAATTAGTAGTTAAGTAGTTAGTGAATAGTAGTTAGTGGTTAGTAGTTAGTAGTTAGTAGTTAGTAGTTAGTAGTTAGTGGTTAGTAGTTACGTAGTTACGTAGTTACGTAGTGGGCGATCGGTAGGGTTTCGGAAGGTCCAAGTCTCTTGATTCGTCGGCTGTACAACTGCTATACCACTACCACCCCCACTACTGCTACTCCTACTCCTACTCCTACTCCTACTCCTACTCCTACTACTGCTACTACTACTACTACCACTACTACTACCAGTACTACTACCACTACTAGTACCACCACTACTACTGCCACCACCACTACTACTATCACTACCACTACCACTGCCACTGCCACTACCACTACCCCTACCGCTACCGCTACCGCTACCGCTACCGCTACCACGACCACGACCACGACCACGACCACGACCACGACCACGACCACGACCACGACCACGACCACTACCACGACCACGACCACTACCACTACCACTACCACTACTGCTACTGCTACTACCACTACCACTACCACTACTGCTACTGCTACTGCCACTGCCACTACCACTACCACTACCACTACTACTACTACTGCTACTACTACTACTGCTACTGCTACTGCTACTGCTACTACTACTACTGCTACTGCTACTAGTACTAGTACTACTATTACTACTACTACTACTGTCAAATGCCTCAGCTCAGGCCTCCAAAGCGAAGATGGAGTTCATGGAGCTGCTGCATCTTGAAGAAGATGAGACATGATTGCGAACTTGTGATGGGCGCACGAATGTAAGAGACCTTTTTGATGAGAACACGGGAGGAGCGAGCTTTGTGATTGCAGTACAGGGTAACGTAAACAAGCGAAGACCAAGGAAGTACCGATATTTCGACGCTTTTGCCAGCTGTGCGCGGTCTCCAGACGGAGAGGCGTCTCAATGGCGGCTTGTTGAGACACGACCTTGCCGAATGGCAGGGCTTCAGACAGAAGCTTCAACAGGCCCCAGCGGCCCTTTGGCATTCCTTCATCATCAGCACGTCACACCCTGCGCGTGGCAAAGTTGCATGGTAGGATCATGCAACGACAAGCCACAAGATTCAACGTCAGCATCTAACTCTGGGGTTGTTTGAGCTTGCAATGTCAGTGCTTTCCCAGCACTTCGCCCAACGTGGCAAAAAGAAGGTGTTGTGTTTTTGTCAGGCCAGCCCGTGCCGCCCCAGACAGGCAAGCTGGTTAAACAACGAGAACTCCATCTTGGGCAAGGGTTGACAGCGAGATGAGGCCAGCGGTTTGTAGGATAGTGAGCCTTCAGGTGCGTAGCCGAAGATGTTACTGTGGAGTGCTCCTTGCCGCAGATGCCTCTGCAGACTCCTCTCCGTAAGTTTCCTGGACAGTGTCGGCTGGGCTGCCTGTGCTTCCAGCTTCTTTTGCGGAGACTCATGCACTTTCAAGACAGATCCCTATCAAAGTGTGGCACTGCTGGGAAACAAGGGCTCTCAGACCTACAAGAGCAAACAGGCAGAATCTAGAAATCATCATGGCGAGCTGTCATTCGTGGCACGGGCTTCGTGTTGACGCTGATCGCAGCGGTGGTCCAGGCACGGAGTGGTACCCAGTCAGAACCAGGGACCATGTGATCCACAAGGGATGTCAGCTGCTGTTGCGTTTCCAGGGCTGTTCGGGCTCTTCGTTGCTGATATCGCGATGCGATTGGGTTTGCCCCGGGCCCAAAGCTCTGGCGGTGATCGAGTCATGCATTGGGTAGGACCTGATAGAAACTAGATGTGTGAAGTTGAGGGACTGACTTGATGATCAAGGCTGCGGCCTGTTCACTGTTGTTCTCTTCTCACAGCCGGAGACCCAGCTGAGGGCTCGTCTCAGCCAACTTGAAGATTTCAAGTCGCAGCAAGACGAGCAAACATGAGTAGCACAGGCAAAGAGAGATGGATCCAGGTGCAAGTCGGGAGATAGAGTGAACAAGAATGCAAAGTCGCAGCTGACGTCAGAAGTAGAGAAACTCCTCGCGTATTGGTTCGAGTTTGGTTTGTGCCCTCCAGCCCCAGCCGCGCCTGAAGAGCACAACGAAAGAAGGATGTAGGGAGCTGCCGACGTATCTGTCTGAAACGGCGTCAACTCGGCCAAATTGCCCACACGTGAGAGCGAGCAGCCCAGGAGGCAAAACTGCGGCAGTACACACGGATGTGCACCCCATGAAACTGGGGAGGGCTCGTCCGCGGGGGAGAGGGATGCACAAGTTCGGAGGTGGGTCTCCTGCCCACGGACGGAGGGCGCTTTGTACATCAGCTCAAAAGGCGGGCCATGATGCCATGCAGCAATGGACTGAGGAAGGTCGTCAGCGAAAGCACCTTTATAGCCGCTGACTGTTAGCTTGAAAATGCAAGCGAGGGTGGAGTCCCTCACGGGTTTATGTCGGCACAATCACAGAGCTAAGCCGGACGTCGAGACCCGAAACTTTCCGGTAGTTGGAAGGGGGACATGATGGGACATGACGTTTGAGCACTACTGGGATCGAAGGGGCATTGTTGCTGATGCTCAGAGCATTAGGCGTTGTTTCGGAGCAGTGCTTGTCTAAGCTGTCCTCTGCACGGAGAGACGGAGAGAGTCCAAGAAGGCGTTAGGTTCAGGCGAATAGAGACAAGTCGGGCCTCAAAATGTGAAGGAAAACCATCGGGGCCGGCGACGTAATGATGCCCTTGCTGGCAAGTGTTATTGAATTGTGTTGCAATCGTGGTGGCCAGCGTGCAGGGTGGCGGGTCCTGGCTAGGGGGAGGGAATTTCTCGCAGGAGAAATCTACGCAGACGACGGCGGGAAGGCCGGACTTGCTCTCCAGATGTTCGGACTTCCTGGTCTTTCAACGACCGAAGCATTCTGGGGGACCGGTGTTGGGGTCGCAGGCCAAACGTCTTAATGGAGTTGAGAAGGTCGCAGTATCAGAAAGCTGTGTCTTGGTGGCCGTTGCTTGCCACCGGATGCTGCAAGGTGAGACAAGTGCGCAGGTCGTGTAACCACAATCATGTACAGTCATCATCGGGCGAGAGGACATTTTGTTTACTACAGATCCCTATTGTGCTAACTAAAAATTAAATGCTAAACCCTAAACCCTCAACCCTAAATGCCTTAACGAGCACCCGGAAAACTAGGACATGCCCAACCAGCCTGCAGCAAGAAGTTACAGACTCCCACTGATTCCGCACGAAGTGCACGGCTGTCCGCAGAATGCCACGGTTTTGTGTTTAGGGTGTAGGGTTTATGATAACACTAGAAGCAGAAAAACCAGCTCAACAACTAGAATACTTGAGCAAGGAATTACGGAGAGCGACAGAGCCGAACTGCCAGAGGTATTGGCTTGGGAGAGGAAGGGATCACTCCAGGACGAACTCAAGATATGAGCCAGCAAATTCTGAACGAAGAGCGAAGGAACAAACGACGTAGTACATTGATGACCCAACGTCAAGAAGCACACAGAAACGACTTCAGACGATGGGGCATGGGATACGCAGAGTGGGGAACTGGCAAGGCGAAGCGTGTGAAACGAAAGCGGCAGCAGACCCCGGCGCATCGAGGCGTGCTTAGTCGGGTCATGTGGGAGTTTCCGAAAATAGGGCACCCTAATGTCGTACCCAAATAGTAGGATCCTTGTTAAAAGGGTTGGGTTCGGTAGGGTGGGTAGGGAGGGGTTGGGTGGGGTAGGGGCAGAGCTCAGGGTGGGCTAGGCGGGGGTCGGGGGAAGGGTGGCAGGTCCATTTTGGGGGACAGCTCCTGCTGCGTTGGTGGCATCCGGCCAGAGGGGTATCAGCAGGAAAGTGAGGACCTCCTCGTCCAGCCAGTCTGACCAATTTGTACCGTGACCGCTGATTGCCGAGTTGCGAGAGCGTAAGTATCTAAGCCCGTATGGCATCTTGCTTCATGTTAATGCTGCCGCTAAATCCTGGCTTGGGGGTGGATTCAGACGTTTGGGTCCAGGGCATTGCCTGCTCAGGGTATAGGGTTGAGTTTAGGGCTTACCAGAATCCAGTTGCTTTGATCCACAATCCCCGCACGTTTTGATGGTTAAAAATGCACGGAGCCTGGACCGACGAGATATGCAGTACCACATTCTTTGTGTACACACATAAACACAGGCACAAAAGATGCATACTCATCACAGCGCATAAGCATCTCATGTGTGCATAACAGAGCCTAGTCGTTCATGAACAGGTCAGGGTGTTGCTGAACAGTCGTTTGCAACAAGATAGACTTCACAAGAAGAACTCAAAGCAAATGCCGGTCGTTTCACAACTTTATCACAAGGTCTTGGGGTAAGAGAGTGAGCGATCTTTGAGGTGAAGTAAGGTTTGTGGAATTGGTGGCGGTGTTGGTGGATGTGGACGGATGGTGGATGGGTCCTGGTCAACGTCGAACCACGATCCAAGACGGTTATGGAAAGCGCCCTTGTTTACAAGCGATCCCCCCTTGTAAGCAAGACGGGAGTGCAGGGTGCGCTCTTCATGATCTTCGGCATTGTGAGACTTGCTGGAGCAGGCCTGTCAGGGTTCGCCAGCACAAGGTTCTGTGGAGTCTGCACCGCCAGCTTGCAGGCATCCTTGTTGGCGGCATGTTTTGCCAGCATGCACAGCTGCAGCGCTTCCAACTGCCAGTCTTGCATGTGCATCAGGCTTTGCGGCTTCAGGTGTACCAGTGACCAGTTCAGACGTTTGTTAGCAACACAGCACTTGTGGCAACGCAGCGACTCGGTGGTATGACGATTGAATGACGATGTCACGCTAGTTAGTTCGAGAAGTGCAGCACTGCTCAGCACACTAACAGATCAGTTTTCATGCAGGTCACGGGATAGGTCTCGCCCACTTGCGTCATGAAGCGGCCGATCTTCACGGGCCCTGGCAGCCTCAAAAGGCAGAAGAAGCCGGAGCCGGTGGACGCGGCGTCGCAATCTACGAGAACCCTATCACTGTTGGTTGAAGGACGAATTGAAGAAGGCCTGCCGCGCGCGAACACACCTGCCTGCCGCGGAAACATTCCACTTGGCTCACCTCCTCTTCCAGCTGGCTGAAAGTTTGTTGACGGGAACCAACCGGCAGCAGCAAGGAAGGCCTGCAAGAAGATGGACGCAGCACGTGCTCTCGGCCGAGGATCCCGCGACTGCGACGGTCGTGGAGATGTTTGGGCGCCTGGAATTCCAGGATGGCAAAAGGAAGCGACACGTCGGGCCTTCCCAGTCCTATCATGGTTCTGGCCGTGTGCACCTGCACATGCTGGTCTGGCTGCAGAATGAATGCGGACCAAGTGACCTGGTCCCGCATCTTACGCGCCGACATTCCCTCTGCAGATGACGAGCCGGAGCTGCACGATTTGGTTCGCGGCTCCGGCGGCCCGACCGTGTACGACAAGGACGCCCAGCTCTTGCGGTTGCATCATCCCGCAGATGCCCATGCAGCCCACGTCCGCGCCTACATGCCTGACGTCCTCGAAGCACTGCAGTGTCATATGGACGTCCAGATGGGCGACGGCCCGGGGTTGCTGCTGCAGTACACCTCCACGTACGCGGCAAAGTTCAGCGACCAGTTCGCAAGCAGTTGGCTCAACGAGGAGGCGACCGACTTCCAGCTTGCTGAGCAGGGTCCAGAAGGACGAGCTGAGAAACAGGTGGGGCTTGGATGCAGATGTCGTGCAAAACGACATTTACATGCTGGTGTACAGCGGGTTCAGACCCCTCGGCTGCAATACGGCGTTCTGGGACCGTAGCGTCTCCGAACCGCCGATGATAGGCAAGAAGCCTGAGTGAGATGTTTGCGACAGGTTTTGCTTTCCAAAAGATTTCGCTTGATTGCTGTTGAACTTGCTGCGCAGCGAACCTGCGACTACTGGCCATAACTGGTCGAACGGGTGTCTTGAAGCTGCGGCGCGGCGCAGGCCATCGACATCCACATCGCTTTGACGCAACGCCGCTGTTGGATCTCATGGCTGCAGCTGAAGGCCACTGAAGGTCGCGTCGACACCAGCGTTGTAGCATCCGTGTTTTTGCTCGAAAGCCACCCAAGAGGCTGAATCCGCTGGAGAAGCTTGCGGTACTCAATTGCGGCTGGCCGGCATCAACCTCATGTCACGGGCAAAGCCATGTGCAGCACTTGTCAAGCCTGATTTCTCGGACAAGCTTTGTCGCAGCTCGGATCAGGCGGCCAACATCCCACCCGCGGATCTTGGTGCATGTCTCAGAGAATTGGGTACACGCAGAACGCGCTCACGCGCAGAACCCGAAGTTGTTCCTTTCACACCTCGCGGCCAAACAGGTCTGGCGGGACAAGTTGCCACCATTGGCCATCAAGGCCCGGCAGTGTCAGCATGTTTGTGCTCCTCGAACAGTTTGTCATGTGTGAAGGGTGTCATGTGATGTGCCCCTGAAGACCACTTGCTTCGCTGCCATGTCCTATGTTCAGCATAAGCTTGTCGAGGATGTAGTCAAGGATCGGTGTTCGTGACATGCCCCGATTCCATCATACATGCATGGAGCTACTTCCAAAATGATGTGCGCGCGCAGGCGAGGGGTTGGAGGAGATACTTAGTTGCGTCTCGGTGAGTCATCGTGAATGCATGGAATAACTTGCAACATTGTGCACGTGCTCCAGGCAGGGGGAGATATTTAGCTGCTTGCATTCGTCTCGGTGAGTTTCATCCAAAATTATGCGTGCGTCTACACCACGGGGGAGATACTTAGGTACCTGCCGGCATCTCGGTGAGTCATCGTACATGCATGAACCGAAATTGTGTTGTGCGCGGAGGGTTGGGTGAGATACTTAGCTGCCCTGCAGGCGTCTTGGTGAATCATCGGTCCCGTTGCTTTGCAGACGATTTGGGGTCGTGTGGTACGCTTGGATTTCGTGGCTGAATTTTCGCAGTCTGCAGATGGAGGCTTCAAGCCTGGAGCCACTGAGAAATCACAGCGTTTCTCAGGTTCCGCAAGTACTCGTACTTGCTGTCCGCAGGGGCAAGCTCAGCTTCAGGATTGGACCCTCAAAGCCTCGTAAGTGGCAGCAGAGGATCCTGAAGCCTTGGCAGGCTTTGTAGTGACCTGCGACGATCCCCATCGCCATGTTTGGCCTAGCAATGGCATCCGGTGTTTGTTAACGGTTTAGCGCACACGCGCCGAGATGTGCAGAAGCCGTCAAGCGGGGCCACACAGCACCGGTCGCTTTTCCGGTCAGCTGCACGTAGCCGCGCTCGCGGTAGCGCTCTGCCGCAGACTTCGACCCGACTGACATCGACGGCTGCCACGAGCGCTTGGTCCTGAGTCCTGAGCAGTCCTGAGCCACAGTGTGCTGGTATTCAGGCCATGGCCGGAAAAATAGAAAGTGCTTGAGGGCCCACTCCTCCAGGGTCGGATGCCCTGAGATGACGAACGCGATGGGCCACAATGGTCCACCCTAAATGTGCTGTCCTGCATAATATGGCAGCAAGACCATGTGCCAATATTTAGTAGTTAAGGTAGTTTTCACCAACTCTTCCAGGCTGAGATCCTTCATGCCCTGTCAGACACCCGAGGCATCGAGGGCTGTCGAAATGCCAAGTACGAAGTGCAAGTTCGCTCTGAGAGCTGCAAGGACTGCAGCTGAAGTGCAGAAGCCGAACGCAAGCTAAGCAAGTCTCTGTTCACTGAGCTTCCTTCGTCTCTGCAGGACTTCCCTTTCTTTCGGCCGCGATGCGCCAACATCATACGTTGCCTGAGAAGGCTCGTCTTTCAGTTTTCCTCCTGGGTGCTAAATAGTTGCAGGGCTGTCAGGCACTCGGGAGGTTCCGACTTTTTGTGGGCAAGTCTTTCAGAGTAATGAATTGTGACTTGGTAAACTTGCGCACGATATTCGCGAAGGCCATGAGGACATGTTGATGGACGCGACTAGCGAGCATACTGTTTGCATGACTCCCTTCCCAGTTAAAGATCCGAGATCGAATTGACGCTGAGGGGTTCTCCTCCCCAATCCCCGTCTCGTGGCCCTGTCGGGCTGCCGACATTAAATTTCAAAAGCCTTTCGGCTGGCGTGGCAGAATCCAGGAAGCACCAAGCCGCAGGCCGAAACTCTGCTGACTACGCTATGCCGCCATCATCATACTCCGAGCCTTGCAAAGATGGAAGGACGCAAGCGCACACTCGGAAGCGACCCCTCAGCTCAGCCGCCAGCTCCCGATGGGCCACTCTACATCTGTGATGTTCTGTGCCAGATACCTTGTGTCGAACCTGACGCACTACAAGGGGTGCCCACGTACCGCACTCGGAGGTGGACTCGACTCGACGACTTGAGCCAAGGGGCCGTATCGGGGATGGGGTGAGGCGGGTGAGGAGAGCACACATCTTTGCAAACACGGCCTTTGCATTTGCAGGCGAGATGGCTTTACCCAGGAGGGTTTCCAATCAAAGGCATGTGCGGGATTCATGATTCAGAGTGGAAGTGGACTGCTGGCGCCTCGTGCGACTGCCACTGCTGCTCACAAAAACTCCGTCTCATCATGGCTGGGTTGTGGATTGGCGTTACATGCAAAAGGCAGTGTGCGACATCAGGGCAGAAGGAACCAACTTGAGCGACAAGCCCGCCTTGAGCACGTTTTTATCTGATGACGTATTCAATTTGAGAGAAAGCTACATTCCGTCCAAAAGATCGAACACGCATGCTTTAACAACGAGAGCGTGGAGTCTCTTCTCGAAAGTCCCTGTTTGCACCCAGAGCTGTCCAGGTAGGCGCGATTTGACTTTTGCTGCCCGTGGCCTTGGCTTGCCCTTTTCCTGCTTCGCTCGACGAAGTCTCCTGCTCGCGCTGAAACCTCCTCTCCCTGCCCCGACGCTTGGAACCAGTGAAATCTTGCCCTGCCTGTCAACGCATCAAAACATTCGGGATGCACTGCCGCGCATTGGCGATGCAGGCTGCCAGGCCAGACCGTGATATCCTTCGATGCAGCCAGGCTTTTATTTCTGGAGTTCCTAGCTGCCCCAGGTAGCGCGTCTGCAGCTGCTTGATGCTCCTGGTGCTGGTGGCGAGCCAGGACCTCCGGCGAGTAGCCGAACGCCGCAATAAATGAGCATTTTCTTCAAAAAAGATATTCATGGGTGCAGCAAGGCTGAACGCCCTGTTACTGGTTGCAGTTGGAATTGTTACCGGCAGCGGGTATGAGAAGTATGTGAACGGTGAAGGCGGCACTTGTGAGATACCACGGCATGGCAGTCTTCCCACTGTCTGCACTGAACCTTCAAATCTCAGTACTAAGTATGTTGACTCGTGGAGCATTGCATATGGGGAGATGGCAGCAGTGCAGCCAGCACCATTACTGCAGGACAGCAGACCGAAGAGCAGGAAGAGGCCTGCCCACAGCGTTTCAATCATAGTCAGTTGGGTCTGCAACTTACGGAGGCGGTGGTTCGTGTAACTTTCGTAACTGTTAACAGACCCTGAAACAACAACACCCAGTACATTAAAAACGGGGCCGAAACTTACGATGCTGGACCTGCTCAAGGGCATGTGTGTTGGACAGAACAGCTTCTGACAGCGGATCTTCCCGGGCTTTCAATCGGCGCACATACATGTTGGTTTGGTTTTTTTGCACGAAGACGAAGGATGGCATCCCTGTACTGCAATTGCTTCTACGCTTGAAGTAGTGACGCAATGCCATAACAAGATGGTTCTGATGAATGTGTGTCGCACAAGTTGAGTGCGACAATTCTGAAAGTGCCTAAGCTGACAGCAAGCATCCTGTCAACAAGCGTGCCGACGACGCAAAAGCCATCAAATCAGCAAGCGGTGCAACGCCATGTCTTGGACAAGAACGTGTAACATCCAAGGCGAAAGCAAAGAAGCCACGATCTTGAGTTGAAGTCAAGAGATTGCAGGAAGTCCGAAGGCAAAAGACAGGGGCTACCGTCATCCTGGGGTTTTCCAAACTGGAGGGTCCCTTACTGCCGAGTCCTAACAGCAAGGAGCTAACTGTTAGAGTGTCTTTTCGGCTTCCGTGATTTCGGCAGGCTTTCGTTTGCTTGTTGCAGCAAACATGGCTTCTTTATGAAAAGAACCGGCGGAATGTGCCCCGTGATGCAGACATAGCGGCAGAGCAGCATCGGACAGCTTCGAAGAAGACCGGAAGGCCGGTCACATTGGCCAAATCTTCCTGACTTGATAAGCGAGGAGTACCGTGCTTGCAGAAACATCGTACCGCGTTACCGGACATCTCCGTGTGCAGGACGTTTTCCCGCAGGAATCCAGGCCTGTGGCGGTGAGACCGCCAGCCGGATCAGGAGCTGGGTGCAGGTGTCTCTGAATTGACGATGCCGATGATGCGGATGGTCATGGTGGTGATGTGGAGTGGCACCACGATGATTATGATTCCGATGATGGTCGTTCGGCGATGCTGTTGGAGATGGCATGTTGCGGTTGTTGTTGCGACAGCAACTCGAACGGTTCAAGCTTGGAAGGACTGGCAGCAGCTTGCAAGCGCCGTCTGGTAAACACAGGCGAGTGGTACTGCTGCAGCGCAATGCCTTGCATCTTATGTTTGGACTCGACTGCTAGACAAACTGCCCAAGTATGGATTCGGGCTGCATGTAGGAAGACTTTCTTGGTGGTCAATCGCCTTGGGGCTGCAGCATTGCAACCCGAAGCCCTGTAGGCCTGATGGAGCGACACGAGCAGCAAAGCGCCGCCGTCGAGGTGGGCCTTGTCTTTGCTTCGTTGAATAGCGGTTGGCGAAACTCATTCAGAGAATATAGGGGCCTCAACAATTAGCATAAGGTTTGGGGGCCCATTATATATTATGCTATTATTTAGGCCCCTATATTCTTGTGCCTGGATGTTTTGCTTTTCCGAGGCTGCCGTCGATCGACGGCCGTGCGCAAAGCCGCGTGCCTTGCCGTCGTTCTAGCACCATCTCGACTCCGTCGTGTTCCAAGGTCTCTAGCTTGCCAGTTGGACCCGAGCAAGGCTGGACCGCTTTCAACAGCCACTTTTCAAGCCTCCTCAGAAACTTCTGGCTGCAGGTGGCAGATGAGACCAAGCGTGTTTTGCGCTTGAAATACAATAGGCAGGTTGCTGGTCACATTCCACAGCTCAGGCTGTGTTGTCAAGATTTGGACGTCGAGTCTCCACCCGCACAGGGTCATCAGCCCTCCGACTGTGTACCTGAACTGCAAGAGGCGCAAGTGATCGCAAGCAGTTGATCAGATCTGTTTTTAAGACTCCCACTCGGTGGACTTCTGCAGGGCAGCCGTGGACATCGACTTGCAGGGCAAGGTGGAGGGGATTCCGATTGTTCCGACTTGCCATTGCTTTTGGAGTCTCGATCGAGCTCCGTCTTGTTGCAGGAGGTCCGACTCCGCACAGATCCTGTTCCCCAGGTCCCTCTTGCATCTTTGTGGCTGGGTTCCAGCATGACGGCCAGGTACACTAGCTTTCGGAGTTGAGATGCGATGAGTTCAGTGTGTTGCGTCATCGATGTGAGTGGGCAGGAGGGGCGGTTCGTGCGGCAACGAGCCCGAGAGCCACACCTGCCTCCAGCTACAACCCAAGTCCGCCGAGCCCGTGGGTTTTGCCTGACAAGTTTCGCAGTGTAGGATTGAAAACTTGCTTGTATGAAGTGCTGTACCTTTGGTCTCCGGAAGCGTCAAGCCCGCGTTCTTCAATGCGGCCCCGGGCAGGAACTCATGGCTTTCTTCCAGCCTCAGGCCTGGTTTTGGCCCTCCCTAAGCCTCGGCCACTCTAACTTGATGTCTTCAGCGTGTAGCTATAGAGGCCGTGTGTTTCCTTGACTCGATTGGGGCACCCCACTCGGCCACCGCAGTTGGGGGGAAGCGCACACCGCTTCCAGCTCCTTTCTTGTTTTGGAGACGCATAGCTGTTGAGGTTCGGGGACAGGTTATCGGTTTTTTAGGGTCGTGGGTGGGTGTTGTATAACAAGTTCCGCGGTGTAGGATTGAAAACTTGCTTGTATGAAGTGCTGTACTTTCGGTCTCCGGAGGCATCAAGCCCGCCTGCTTCAATGCGGCCCCGGGCAGGAACTCATGGCTTTCTTCCAGCCTCAGGCCTGGTGTTGGCCCTCCCTAAGCCTCGGCCACTCTAACTTGATGTCTTCAGCAGTTTCAGGGTGTTTCAGATTCTCTTCTCAGCGTGTAGCTAGAGGCCGTGCGTTTCCTTGACTCGATTGGGGCACCCCACTCGGCCACCGCAGTTGGGGGGAAGCGCACACCGCTTCCAGCTCCTTTCTTGTTTTGGAGACGCAGCTGTTGAGGTTCGGGGACAGGTTATCGGTTTTTTAGGGTCGTGGGTGGGTGTTGTATAACAAGTTCCGCGGTGTCGGATTGAAAACTTGCTTGTAGCAACTGCAGGGCACAACGTGGTTTCAATCAGATTGATCGCTTTGGTGGCGACGACGCCGCAGCCTCAGGCCTTGCCAGACCGCACTTTCGGTTCCAAGTTGTCGCTCATTCTCTTGGAGGCCCATATAGAAAATCCGCTGCGGATGCTGGCCATGACTATTTTCATGTGTTCCGTAAGCGCAAGGGTGGGAATCTGCTGATCAGACGGACGCAAGCCCACGCAGACATGACGGTACGTGGTCTGGTGGGTTAGTGCAGACACGGCTGTGAGCGCCAGTGCATGCGTAAAGGAGCTTACATGTTTAAGTAAGTGTGGGAAGACGTCCGCTGATTTGACGGGGGTCTCTCTGAATGCAAGCCCGTGTGGATAGGCCAGTCTGTGTTGGCATATGCTAATGATGGCCTCCCAAGGCATCTATTGGGCAGATACGTCTGTCAGTGCAAGTGCGCGTGTGTAGGAGGCTATTCGCGAAGGCAGCGGTGGGAATGAATCCGCTGATCCGATGCGGATAGTTCATTGCGCTGAGTTTTAGGTTTACTTTCGTGGGGTTTAGCTCTTCTCAGCGTTTATATAAACACAAAGCCAAATAAAGCCAAAGAAAGACAAATAAAAACAAATAAGGCCAAATAAAGACAAATAAAGACAAATAGAAACAAGTGAAGGCAAATAAAGACTTTAAACAACTTCTAACAATTTCCAAAAACTTTTACACTCCTTTTCAACACTTTTACATACAGGAAAAGCATTAAAATACAAATAAAGCCAAATAAAGCCAATTAAAAGCTTTCAAAGGCAGATAAAGTGAAATCAAATAAAAACTCTTAACAAACAAATCCAGACTTTTCACCAATTAGACAAGTAAACACATAAGCCGGGTGCGAGGAACCGCCAGCAGACAGGTGCAATTGCGCAGCAAATGTAAGTGTTTGTGTACGAAAAACCATAAAGCAACCAGTGTTTGTGTAGGAAAAAACATAAATGAACCGCTTGCTTTATGCGTTTTTCCGTAGAAAACCCACATGTCTATAGGAACCACCAACAGACAGGTGATTCTGTACCGCAAATGTAAGTGTTTGTGTGGGAAAAACCAAAAAACAACCGCTTGCTTTATGCGTTTCTCCGGGGAAAACCGACATGTCTTTAGGAACCACCAGCAGACAGGTGCATTTGTGCAGCAAATGTAAGTGTTTGTGTAGGAAAAGCCACAAAGCAACCGCTTGCTTTATGCGTTTTTCCATAGAAAACCCACATGTCTATAGGAACCACCAACAGGCAGGTGCATTGGTACAGCAAATGTAAGTGTTTGTGTAGGAAAAACCATAAAGCAACTGCTTGCTTTATGCGTTTTTCCATAGAAAACCCACATGTCTATAGGAACCACCAACAGACAGGTGCATTTGTACAGCAAATGCAAGTGTTTGTGTAGGAAACCGCTTGCTTTCTGCCTTTTTCTTTAGAAAACCGACATGTCTGTAGGAATCATCAACAGGCAGGTGCATTTGTACAGCAAATGTAAGTGTTTGTGTAGGCAAAACCATAAAGCAACCGCTTGCTTTATGCGTTTTTCAATGAGAAAACCGACATGTCTTTAGGAACCACCAGCAGACAGGATCATTTGTACCGCAAATGATGTAAGTGTTTGTGTTATCCTGCTGTACATGCGATGTTCTGCATTTCATGAGGATATTTCATGCGTACTTTCCTTTTCTTGAAACATTTTACTGTTTTCTCGCAGGGGGCACGGCGCCACAGTTCGAGCCGTGCCAACGAAGCTGAGAACTGTGGTGGATGCACTCAAGGACGCTTGAGTGTGTACCTGCAAAAAGCTGGGGCCTCCGAGCCAGCGAGATTAGCAAAACTGTTTCTTTCGAACAAGGCAGGTTTGCAGGTTTGATCATGTTTTTGCTTGTTCTGAAATTTTGTACGGTTGCCGCAATCTGTTTGAGCAAATCCATGAGAGCATATGCACTGGACGATCATGCACCCAATTAGCGACTTTATGTGGCCCTCAACATCAAGAAGGCAAGACAGAGTTAAGTCTTCCAAGTTGTGTTCGACAAGGGCTCCTTCATGAGGGCCTTGTCGCTTTACGGCGAAATATGCCGGCCCACTCGGGTGCTTGTTTTAGCAGGTCTGGAGATCTGGTAGGATTGCGACACATGTTCAAGTGGAGATCACAGTGGAAATCAACGGTCATGTTTGGAAATCAGCTTTTGGAGATCAAAGTGGAGATCATAGTGGAGATCGTTTGTACAGAGTTGTTTGTTTGGTTCGTTTTGCCATGGACCGAGAACGTAGCCCCTGCCGTTCTCATTGGAGCTCCACAGTTCCACAGCCGCCAGCCAGCTGGCGACATCCTGCTCCCGCAATGCGGCAGTCTCAGGTACGTCCGACCATCATGCAACCACAGCATTTGTCGTGGAATCCGAACCCCCGAGCAGCTCAGATGATGAACATTCCTTTGGCTCCCCGTATTCCGGGACTTTCAGCCTCCCCAGGTACCACAGCACCTGCCGGTCAAAGCAGTCCGGCACAATCCAAGGTCTTTGGACCCATGCTACCGGCCGAGTTTTGTCAGAATCCGAAGTATTTGGATTCCCGGACCATTGCTGGTCTGAGTTTGGCACGTTGGGTCAAAAAGAGTGAGTGGTCTGTCAGGAAGCAGATCGAAGGATGCCCATCGCATATGATCCCACTCCATTCAGTCTTGTATCAAGGCTGGAATTCATATTGGATTCGTTATGTTGCTGAGGGAAGACCGACAGTCTTTGCAGGCTTTGGATCGTTGGCCGAAGTCGTATTCTGCCATGCCCTCTTCGGCAAGCTACGCGATGCGGATGTTGACTTGGATGAACTTGCTCGTATTGTACATGGATCGACCGGCAACATGACAGGGGGCAGTCCCTCGGACGTGAAGGTTCAGGCCACACAGATGCTTGCTACAAAAGTCGTTGAGTTCATGCTGGGTCTGTACCCACAGGATACAGTGGATCCAGAGAAAGTTGCTATGGCAAATCACATTCAGTTGCTTCAACAGCAGCTGGCCAGTTTTGATAAAGCCTCCCCGCCTCAGACGACTACCCACAATGCAGGCACCCCAGGGAAGACTCCCGCCTCTAGTTCACGTGATGGTTCCAGCGGACCACCAATTGCAGCCGGTTCTCCGGAGCCGACACCTGAGTTGGGCCCATCTACATTGAAGGGCCCTGATGGATCTACACGTTTGCTCCGCGGCCCACCGGATGAGCCCAAAGGATCTCTTATGCAGGCCTTCCAAAAAGGCAAGCCGTCCGAAAGCAACACGGAGCCACTCGGAGTCACTCGGAGGTATTGATACCAGACTTGAGTCTCATGCCACTGGATCAGGTGAACAGAAGTTGGAGTATGGAACGGCTTCGCATGTTACACAGGTCGTTCACAATGTGGACGACGCCAAAAAGGCTTTCTTACACGCAATTGGAAGACTTGCAAGTCCGACAAAGAGGTGACCGCGTGGATTGATGGTCTGACCTTGAGTAAGGCCACACGAAGTTGGCAACTTGGACATCCCATGTCCAAAAATGGCATTCAGACCTTCCTGCCACTGAGCAGGCGACTCTCGATCAGGTTATTGCCAACTGGGGCGTCCCGATAAGGGATGTCGCCAAGCTTTTAAAGCAGGCTCTCTATTGCGCATCTTGGCTGTCGGCACAATACTGGTGGCTTGACTACAGACTGTTCAGGACGAGAGAGAGAGGTTTCGAAGCTGCCATCAGCCACATGGATGGTGGCATAAGCGCCGAAGTGACGTGAACTTGCTTCGGAATGTATTTTTTTTGTTCCAAGGCATCTTCGAAACCCCTACCATGTTCGGACAGGTGTGGATGGATATCGTTATTTGGGTCCGTGGCAAGTTACTTTTGTTGGCCTGTGAGTTCGGGCTTGTGCAGTTGCCTTTGATCTCACAGCTTCGCCTCAAGTGTTCCAGTTACACATGGCAGTTTTTCAAAACCAAGTCGGTTATCTATTGTCGCATTTTTCTCCAGCCCGAGATGAAGAAGTTTATGTACATCGGGTCTTCTTTCACAATCTTTAGGCGAACGTGAGCGCACTCGCTGGGGAAAGTTCAAACAGATTCGTGCAGGCAAGTCGGTATGTGGAGAGCTCAGTCTTTGTTGGCATCATCGTCGGTCTAATTATCACATGGCGATTCCTTTGCTGATCATGCATCTTTCTCAGATTGACTGCCTTCACACCATCGAGCAGACTTTCATTAATCTGCTCCAACCTCGTCTCAACGCACCATGGGTCCGGTCACAGGTGAAGGCCAAGCATGCTCATATTGCCAATACTGATCCGGTCAGGTGTGTCCGCAGGTTTGTTACATCCCGGAGGGCTTTTCGGCGTTTTCGACGTCGCAATCTTCGGCTTACAGGATTAACACCGTCGGTTTTTCGATCTGTACACGTGGTGCAATTGATTGTGTATTGCTACCAGATTCTGTTTGATCTGGCGTCGGATGGCTTGAAATCCTTCCTCGCTCATCGCTCAGAAGTATCTCCGCAGCAATCGGGTTGATTCGGATGTACTGTACAGATTGTTTCGCATGGCCACCCACCTGGGCGACCCGTTTTATGAAACGATCTGTAGATCGGACTGAACGCGGTCATGCAGTTTCGGCAGCTCAAATGCCCCGGCACCTGCCGTCCATTGTCCACTCCGTTCTTGCTTCCAGAAGATGGCTTTAAGAAGTTGGTTCGTGGCATGCTCGGAGACATATTGGATGTCTCTGCTGAGCGATTATTGCCTTACCATATCCCGACCACTGCTCTTGTGGCAAAGAGCCGTCCCAAGATCAAGGACGTGCTTTTCTCTTATCGGTCGGTTTTACAACAGTGGGACCCGCATGTTGATCCGTCCACTGCAGGGGTTGTTTGCCAATGCTCTGAAGTTCTTCGTCGTCATCCGCATTCGACGGTGGTACAAGGCCATGTTGCATCGTCCGCCACCCTGCTGACCTTGCCAGAAACACTTGCTCAGCTTTCCATGTCCAGTTGCGGTAATACAGTGTTCATGACAGCGACAGATCATTGGAAGAGGTTCCTGGGTGACGTCAAGCAGTGGATCTCTCATCATGAA